CGATAGCTGCATTCGTCACAAGTGGGAAAAATTTAAATCTGCATGGCACTTTACTCCAATTGGCTCATTCGCTTGCTTAAACTCAACGTTGATTCTGATTCCGCAGAACTGGGTTGGGTGTGAAAAAGTATTTGTTGTTAACATTCTTTTTTCATTCGGTTTTTCCAGTTACAAGTCCTTTTTTAAAGCTGATCATTTTGTGTTCATTTTGTTTAGTTCTTTTTTCGTAACAGATTTAATGTTTAGTATAGAGCTTAGAAAAAAATCGCAGTGTGAGATAGGCAAGAAGTAAGGCATGTAGCAACATCAGCACGGCAAAGGGCACTCCTTTAAAGGCAAGGAAGGGCAAAAATATTTTAAGTCAAGTGATAGCGATTATTTGTATGAGTCGTACGATTTTTGAATCAAGCACTGGCAACGCCGGGCCATGCTGCTAGTATGAAAATATAAAAATATATTAGAAAAATTACCAGCAATACATTTTTGGAATAAATAAAAATTACCAAAGCTCGCAAGAAAATAAAATTTCGTTATTAAATGACCCATAAGTTGTTGATATGCCGTTAAACAAACCAAACTACTCTAAATCTAAGGCATACCAACTACATTAATTATTTTTATTTATCGTTTCTTCCATGGCTTCAATATAATTTATTTTTATATAATATACTTGAGAACTCTAAATAAGTGAAATGTCTCTTATACAAATATTTATGAAGTAATCTCCTGAATAAAGTCCTTCCTCTTGAAATTCGTATTTAGTTTACACATAGCAACTATTATACTACGGCCTATCAAATCCATTTTTATGTTAAAAGTGACACACAATTTAAAATAAAACAGTAAAAAGAGATCTGAAGGTTTTATAATTGCCATATGTAAACAGGAATTCATGTCCAATGCCAAGTATACATTCGATTAGTAAAACAAAGCTGGTAGGCATTTGGTGCATTTGTGTCTAATCAGAAATTTTGGGTAAATAATCCGGCAGATTTATTGTAATAATCTGTTTGTTCCATGTTTTTAAATATATAGATATTGATTAAAATATGATTAATCGTTTCCAAAATTGCTACGTGAATTGACTATTTCTTCTACTATCCAAATACATTTTATGCGAATCTGCTGGAAGGGTTTCAAAATAAAAAAAAAAATATATATATAGTCATTTTCAGTACATTTCCGGCGAAATCCCACTTGAGAGACGTCATAGTGTTTCTCGGATTAAAAGGATATCTTTACATCTGCTCTTGTTCAGTACGCTCCATGTCCATTTAAGTAAATATTATATTACATTATTAAGGCTGTCCTTATTTTTTTTTTAAAAATAAATTATAAATATATTTTCGATGTTTGTGGCTGAAAACATTAGGTTTATAATACCCAGAAATTCATACACAGATGTCCTCAAGGACACATGGCACAGCGGATAAAGCCGTTAGTTAGATCCAGTGACAGGACCCTAAGAGTGTGAATTCAATACCCGGTTAAGGCAGTGGAGAACTTGGAGAGGGGAATTAACAGGAGATAACTGATATCCATTAAACATGGCATGAGAAACTAGAACAGTCCACACCAGTGAGCGAAATAAAGGGTTCAGTTCGGCATTCCAACCACCTGTAATAAATGTGACGACAAAGATGAGGACAATAGTCCGAATAATGTAAATAAGGTACATCTTAGAAATATAGACGGATTGAATGATATGCATTACTCCCCATTCTTTCATTACGATGACGTATTCATGATTCTCATGTAGCAGACGATACCTTTGCATTGAAAGAGCCCCATGAAAAACATTGATATCTACAAATTAAAAAAAAAGATTATATGAACACAAAAGGATCATTTAAAAGACTATAGTCAACTAGCAGTAAAACCCGGCGTTGCTCGGGGCTTTATGTAGTTAAATTGTTTTGGGGTTTCAATTATTGAACTTACGCTACGTATCCGCAGTTTTTGAGGTCACTGATAGACCGGGAATCTCACTGAGATCAAGGGGAAACCGGTTGCAATAGGTGGTTGCTGTGTTGCTAAAGGAGTGGGTTGTGCACACAGTAGCGCAAGTACGTTTTGCCTTAGCGCATCACAGTATGAGCCTGAGGTACCACCAGCAGCCAATTGTAGGTGCCGGGAATTTTGGAGTTGGAAATAAGTCAAACCCTAAGTATGTCTTGAATCATCTCTTTTTTTAAATGGATTGACTACCGTTTAAACTGACTTCAGTAAACACAAAAGCACACAACGGTACACGCAACACAGGCTGAGTGAAATATGGCGATGGCACTACCGCAAACAGGTCAACAGGTAGGTGTGTGAGAAGCAAGGCAGGGACGGAATTAACTGGCTGGCTCCAGAAGGATTCCACGATGCCAACTCCCTGCAGCAGTGTAGATTAATTCAATGGGCGAAACCTGGCTAAGGCCAGTACAGAGATTCCAAATGAATCCCACAAAGGTGAAGAGTGATGCGTTTCATGTAGCACTGCCGGTGATCAACTGTATGCTGGAACCGAACGCTGTAACCTAGGGAAAGCGCATGACATTGCAAGCTCCCTGTAGCGCTCAGCTATTCAAAAATGTTGCGAATGGATGCAGCATCAGCGATGCACTTGCCTGGGGGGGGGCGCTTAACACAATTATTGATGCCTCCACAGTGTAGATGGTAGTGGTGGAATGGAGATGACAGTGGCAGTAGACGGGAGGGGTTGACAGAAAACGCAAGCAGACATGCGAATACGCCGAAGGCAGGTAGAAGGAAGTGTTTATCTGGCGCGGTGTAGTAACAATGGGAGACAAATTTCACGGACGTCTTGTAAGGCAGGTAGGGTGTGAAGGTGTGGTAAGAGGGAAAACTGCTCTTGGGAATCGAAGCTTTGCGTGTCGGTTTGTACTGTCATCGACGGTTTATACAGTCCTGAAGACCGCATAGAGGTAAACTGTCAGCCGTCGCCTACGTCCCATCAACCTACAGAAGCTCCTTGTAAATGACATTTTTCTGCAGATCCCCCTGGGAGTGAAGACGAATACGTCCTCGCTTCTACCTACACGCGAACAACCTACGTAAAGCTGGCCATGGGAAAAACACTGCTCTCCAAGGTGAATTCCCGCGATACGTAGTGTTTGGCCCTGGGATTTATTAATAGACATTGCAAAGCAAAGTCTGACGGGAAACTGCGACCGGCGGAATGTAAAGGGCACATCTGAACCCGACGGAGATAGATGCATGCGCGGTATGAATACAGTTTCACCCCTTCTACAACCGGTAAGAATTGTCGCTTCAATTAAATTTGGTGCCAAAGACTTAACCACCATTCGTGTACCATTGCACTGATTTGGGGGGAAGCAGGTTACGCAAAAGCATAATGGGCGCGCCCACTTTCAGTCTCGGTGTGTGAGGAGAAAACCTTGCCCGTTCTAAGGAATTCAGAAGTTCGACCGGGTAGTCCGTAAGGTTATCCGGGTCGGGCGTCCTGTCGATGGATTTGTAGATGTAATCATCCCCGGGAATGCACTGCAGGAGTTGCTTATTAATGCTAGTAACTGTGGTGTTTTTTGAAGCACAGTAGTTGGCACTAAGATGCGGAAAGACGACATCTCTGAGCTGTTGATGGGTGTCAACAACTGACTTCAGTAAACACAAAAGCACACAACGGTACACGCAACTGAACACAGTGTTCCCACGTTAATGTAGCCTTCTGCGTCAGAAGACGTTCGGCCCTCGACGAGAGCTAGAAGGCCCCTTGAACATTCAGCGGACACGATGTCCCCAGTAGTATGAACGCGCATGTTGGTGGTCAGGTGCAATGACTGGACATGGGCCCAGAGGTTGGACTACTTAAGGCACGCACGAACAGCATCGGCCTTTGTCCCTTTAGGAATAACAGGCAGGGTTTGTCGAAAGACACCTGACGAAAGGAGAGTCTAGCAACCCATGAGAGCAGTGGAGTCCCTAATGTCTTGAAGGGACCTATTCAACGCCTCGAGTGATTGTTTGTGAGCCATAGTGCACTCGTCTCACACTATGAGTTTACAACGTCTTAATACGTCAGCCTGAACCGAATCTTTTGAAATGCTGCAAGTTGGAATTTCGGCCTTGGCAAGGTCAAGCGGAAGTCTAAACATAGAGTGCACCGTCCGTCCGTCCGTCCGTCCGTCCGCCCGGCAGCAATGTGGCCGCAATCCCTGATGATGCAACAGCATGCGCGATGTCTCCGTGCCGCTTTGCGCGATAAGGCTTAGGAAGACGTTGTAGGTTGGCCACCCGGAGTATGAAGGGGAATGCCGAAGTGGTAGCCATCGTCACCATAAGGGAGAAGTAAAGGGGTACTTCAATGCGTCATATGATCGATGGGTCTCTGAAATCCTGCGAAGAGCGCCGCCTCTTGATTTGAGGACATTATCGCCAGTGCGGTCTTGCTCCCCATGTATAATAGCGGCCACTTCGTTGCACGCAGAAGCATTGTAGAGGCGTTCGTGTTCATCATAAGGCCGTTTGTCGACCTCAATTACAATGCTAAAGGAAGGTAAGGGAGCATTTTCCAAAGCATATTTGAAACTGCAAATGTAGCTGTTAACCTCGTGAAGCATGGCCTGAAGAAGTAGTATGACGTCCCTGCAAGAAACTCTTCTCGACGGTGACAAAATACCAATCCGGGTTTCGGCCTGTAGGTTGTAGTCTGCAATAAAGTACAGTTGAAGGAATTTAGGCGTAGAGGTCTCCTCAGGCAGCAGAGACACAATGCCGTGGTATACCTGCCACTGTACTTTGAAAGTGGGCATCCAACCCTCTTCTCGAACCACCTGAGCCCCAAATGAGGTCATTTGAAAGGAGTTGTTTTATTGCCTAATTGTTTTAAGGAAGTGGTTCGAGTCGGGAAGGGAGCCGGCTATTAGTCCCCTCAACGGGGTATGTGGTTCATGCAGAGGTGGCAGTCGAACTTTACCGGATGAGCAGCACAGGCCGGCAGGCTCCCCGGCCCATTTGCGGGCGTTGCAGAATTAGCAAACGCGGGTCATGGACCCTACATTAATGCCGGGGTCGTAATTGAAAGCCAAGAAAGACCAAAAGAGATGATGGGACAGGTAATACCACGAGCGGCCGCAAGGCGCTGAATGTCGCCGTCGAGGCGTATGCGGCGAGCTTGGGGAGTTTGAGATAAGCGCACAACGGCCATGTTTGTAGCAGCCCTTGAAAGTCTGTTTGCCCTTGTCTTTGGGCCCTTGGAGTTTCTGGCAGCGTTGCGGGCATTGCGAGTTGCAGCTCTGTCTCGGACTCCCTGAACTTAGCTGTTGCAGCAGCGTCCCTGTATTGACGAGCGCGCCTGCGGTCAAATGTTTCAGCTTCCCTCGACTGGCAGTGATGGTAGTATTTCTAGCATTTCGAACACACCAACGGAGCGGTGTCTCAGCAGCCCTAGAGCACACTGTTGCAGCAGCGTCCCTAGATTGACGGGCGCGCCTGCGGCCAAGTGTCTCTATTGCCTTTGATTTCGCAGTGGCAGCAGCGTTTCTTACGTTACGAAGAAGCCTTTGATGATGAGTCTCGGAAGTCCGAGATGCAGAGGCGATTGCTGCAGCCTGTGTTTTCATTCTCGACCGTTGTGCATTCTTGAGCCTTGATCGCAACGAAGCCCTGTAGGCAGCTTTCCTAGCCAAGCAGTTGGCACGCTCCTCTTGTGACTGCGAGGTTGCGTGAGGGCGCTGCGCTGAGCGACCTGTGATAGTCACATTGTAGTCTGCTCCTGGGACTCGCGGGCCCTTCTTGCCCTCATAGCGGACGCTCTTGCAGACCGAAGGCTAAGACGTACCCTCCTTTTTTGGCGGCATGGGGGGAACTGATGCTAGCAGTGGTTGATTAGGGTTTCTCAATTGCAGGACTACAAAGTCTAACTTAGTATCGCAAAGTGTGAACCAGAATCGCGAAGGCAGGTATTTAAGTAAAACAGCTGAATAAATTGTTTATGGTAGTTGGAAAAATGTAGTTAAACAAACAAACGGAAAACAAAAACGTAAGAAACAACTTGCGACAGGAGAAATGATCAATTGAAGGAGCCTATCGTATCAATCGGATGGCGGCGTAACAGGAGCAGAAGTGAGACCTTCGTCCCACATCTGTGCACAGCAGGTTCAAATGCAAAGTATTACTGGCCAATCGGTTGTACCAATCAGCGAGCGTCCTAGGGTCTCGAACACCAATCAGCGACTGTGTACAGCACTTAGCCAATGAGATACCGCTATGTGAAGAATGGTCCTGCGTGTGTGAATAACAATCAGCTGTAGAGTCTGTAGTGTAGACGTCTCAGTTTGATGGGTGTATTCGCAAATTCTGATGAAGACATGATTGTATCGACTTCCCTCAGGTATTAGCTGGTCACAAAGGAGATCACAGGGCAAAGGTTTTAATTATCACGACTAAAGCCGATAAAGTTAATCAAAATCCCAAGCAAGTTGCGAAAAACATCGCCAAATTCAGATAAACTCGATTTGAATTGGAAGTCAAAGGGGGTATGATTTCATCGATTTTTATCCGATAATTGAAAACGATATTGAAAACGAAAGTCAGCACCTCAATACTGTCGTTAAATATTATGCTCAACGGGAAATTTACTGAAAATCCTCGCCATTTGCGAAAAATATAGCAAAAAATCAGCTAAACTGGACTTGAATCGGATGTCACAAAATGATCGATTGTATCGTGTTTTTCCAGTAATTGATATCGATATTGAAAATGAATGTCAACACCTCATAACTGTTGATAAAAACAATGTTCAACGTAATTTTAGTGGAAATTCTTCGCCATTTGCAAAAAATATAGCTAAAAACCAACTTTACTGTATTTGAATTGGAAGTCAAAAGTGGTATGATGTTATCAATTTTTCCAATAATTGATACCGATATTGAAGAAAAAGGTCAGCAACTAATAGCTGTTGATAAAACTAATGCTCACGTTTGGTGAATATCACTTGTAATTTCCGAAAACTATCACTAAAAAACTGATGACTTTTTTCGAATCAATATTCGACCCCCTATCAGTTTTATCGATTTTTTTCCAAAATTGGAGAAACAATCGAAAAATCCGAAGACGTCAAGTACGAATGCCGTAAATTTCTGATCTGTATATAAATTTTCATGCTAATCGAACGAACGGTTTGCTCAGGATGAGGGAACAAGTTGACAAACACACAGACACACAGACACACTAACAGAATGCCATTTATAGATAATGGTACATTAGTCGACCCTCGTAATAAATCTGAGCCTAATTTCGACTTTCAGAATCTGTTTTAATTAAATGAAAAATTCATTTATTTAGGCGAAAATATATTGAAAGAGCAAATGAAGGACAAACTGAAAAAAAAGTAGAAGTACTTCATTGGACTAAAGTAATGCTTTTATTGATGGAATTATATTTCTGTAGGAAGGGAAGAGGCAGATATAAAAACTAAAATGTCAGTTATAATTATAGACCGACAGGAAACCATATTGGAACGCTGAAATC